CAAATCTGAAAAAAATGGGGACTCCCTAGGAGGGGGGGGAAGAGACAGAAGCCGGAGGTGCTGGGAAGGGTCTGCAAGGGGCTTTTGTCCTCCCCCTCCCTCCGGTTCAATTTTCCCCCCTGTTGTTGAAATAATAGACAGATGGGAAGCCTTTAGGCCTGAAATGATTCTCTGAATCATGTGGGGATTGATACGCTATTTAATTTTATTTTTGCAAAGCTAAGACAGAGGTGGAGTGGAGGGATAACCCACTTTCCTTCCCCCCCACCCCCCGCTTTGCAATTTTTATTTTATTCAAACAATTCCAATGGAAAATTCCAGAAGACCAAAAAATAAAATCGAGCAAGAGGCAAAACCAAACAATTTTTTTTTAAAAAAAAGTCTGGGCTTAATTATTTTTTTCCCCCCTTTCGGGATAACCCAATTTCCAAACGTTTAGCCCGTTTTTCACACTTTGGGGAGTCCCAGAAAGTGTGAAAAGCAACCGGGTGTGTCCCTCTTGACAGTGCAAACACACACACACACCGCTTTCCCCATCTCTTCACACCCATGAGTCATGCTGTGGTGCGCACACACCACACACACACACAAAGACACACACAAAATAGAACAGCCAGGGAAGTTTTGCGGAGGAAAAGAAAGCTTTACAGGAAGCTATCGACTTCTCACCATCCCCCCCTTCCCTTGATTTGGCTAATTTCACACCCAGAGCCCTTCAGGAGGCAGGTGGCTCGGCTGGGTCTCCCTTCCCCGGTTGTTAGGGAGTCCCGCCTACACCCCACGTGGATGTCACCTCCCGACAAGCACATCCTCAAGAAAAGAGACAGCCAAAAGAATGTGTGTGTCGAACTGTGTGTGTGTAAGTGTCACACATGCCTCTTTTTTCGACAGCTAGAATTTTCCCAGATAAGGCCAGCCCACCGGGAAGGGAGATGACAAAGAAGGTGGAAAGGCTAGATAGATTAGATAGATAGATAGATAGATAGATAGATAGATAGATAGATAGATAGATAGATAGATAGATAGATAGATAGATAGATAGATAGATAGATAGATAGATAGATAGATAGATAGATGCTAAAGATGATAGATAGACAGATAGATAGATAGATAGATAGATAGATGATAGATAGATAGAAAGATAGAGATATATAGATATAGATTGATAGATATATAGATATATAGACAGATAGCAAGACAAACAGAAGAGATAGATAGATAGATAGATAGATAGATAGATGATAGATAGATAGATAGATAGATAGATAGATAGATAGATAGATATAGATGATAGATAGATAGAAGCTAAAGATGGTAGATAGATAGAGATATAGATTGATAGATTGATAGACTGATATATAGATATATACATAGACAGCAAGACAAACAGAAGATAGACAGACAGATAGAGATAAAGATGATAGATAGATAGACAGAAGCTAGATGATAGATAGATATAGATTGATAGATATATAGATATATAGACAGATAGCAAGACAAACAGAAGATAGATAGATAGAAATATAGAGATAGATAGATAGATAGATAGATAGATAGATAGATAGATAGATAGATAGAGAGAGAGAGAGAGAGAGAGAGAGAGAGAGAGAGAGAGAGAGAGAGAGAGAGAGAGAGAGAGAGAGATGGATCCCTCTAACCTCCCAGAGAGAACCAGGATCTGAATTCAATCAGCATCTACCCATCCCTTCTTCCCCAACAGACCAACTGAACGGCGGATGATCCCGTGTCATTCTTCGACAGATGACTGTATTTGAGCCGGGCCTTGTGCTCCTCACCCGCGCCCATCCTTAAGCAGGTCCTCCCCTCCCCGCCCCTGATCCCACCTCCTTTCTCCTGGCGGTCGCTGAGCGAACGCCACGGCCGTTAACCGAAGCCGCCCCCTGCCGGCGTCTCACCTCTCGCAGACCCGCACGGTCCAGGCGGCGATGATCCAGAGGGAGATGCTGAAGACCAGGAGGACGGTGCCGGGGCAGATGGTCATGAGGGTCTTCATCACGAAGCGGGTGTTGAAGTTGATCTTGTTGAGCGCCCCGATGCTGCGGGACGAGGCGTCCGTGAAGAGCTTGCTGTGCAGGAGCATCACCCGGGCGATCAGGTAGAGGCGCAGGAACATGGGGATGGACAGGATGATGTCCACGTCGGCTTCCGCCCGGGAAGGCGTGTACGAGAAAGCCAGCCGGGCGGTCCAAAAGAACTTGTACTCGCCCGGGATGGGGTGCACGGCACAAACCAGCATCTCCAGGCTGATGTACAAGATGCGCTCGTACGTCATGGCGATCCGCCAGTCGTCGGCCCCGTTGTCGATCACAAAGAGCTAGTAGCCAGGGGAAAGCAGGGGGGGGGGAAAGAAAAAAACTCCATTCAGAGCCAAGTTCCTAGTCCTCAAGAAACACACACACACCCCCCACTCGCTCCATTGCCATCGTAAGTCGAGGACGAGTTCTCTAACACCCTTTCAACACCCTGTTTTGTCAACTGCTCCTGCCTTTCCGGTTTCGTTCCCTTTGGAATTTTCTTCCCATCCGGTCCAGAGCCGGTGAAATCAACGATCACCCCTTGGTGCCCTTTCCTTTTAACATTCAAGCGGAAAAGAGCCGTAAAGATTTCTTGCTGGCAACAGAACAGACCAGGATCCGTCCTGTTCTTGGCTGGAAAGTGGCAATTATCAGCAAATTGGTTGGCTTGGGTTTTTTTTTGCTGGCAAGTAAAAGAAAAAAAGATATTTTTTTTAAGGGTCTGAACATGTCTGACGATTTTGGAGAATAAAGACCCGCCGTGACACAGCAGGGACACGCAGCAAGTAATTATCATTAAAATAGTCATGTCCTCCTCTCTAAATGACTCAACAAAAGAAAAAACAACAACAACAACAAAAAACAACCAGAAGTTTTCTGTGTCAAGCTAACTGGTGCAGCCTAATTCTCCTTTTAAAAGTTGCTTTTCAAGTCTTTTATCAACTTTCTCCACTCAATGTCCAGGCTAGAAGTCCAGAGTTGATCCAGATGTTTCTCTTAGCTAAGAGACTGACTAAGACGACCGATTGTGGCTTGTCCGCTCCAAGGAAAGAGACATTTGGCTGGGACAAAGCCAGATGTTGCAACAGGCAAGGTTCAGCAAGATTCTTGGCTTCGCATGTTCCCGGAGAAGAAGGGAAGAAGGAATTTAATCAGCATTTTCACACAATTTTCCTGTGTGCATGTTTTTACCGCAAAGCTCTTGCGCTTTTTTTTCTGGCGCATTCGTGCACACCGGATTTATTGCACAACCTGACCGAATCTGCTTCTCATTCCTGCATCATCTGGTTGGGATTTTTTTTCCTAGCTTGTCTTAAAGGATCTGGATCCCTTCTCCGGAGGAGAGGAATCCATGGGCCAGGGGTCAGCCAGAAGCTCAACAGGACAACATGATGATGATTAACCCAGAGAAACCTCTGCTCTTTGGCAGCCAGCCTTCCAGCTGAGCGGGATCCATCCCTCTGTGGCCACAAGCAGGGAGGACAAAGGGGGGGGTCCCCCCTCCATGAGCAAGCAGACCCCTCCCCCAATATGAATGGCGCTACCAAAGTGCCATGGACGCTTTAAATCCAGGGCAACTGATTTGAGGTTTGCTAATACTAACAGGGATGGATGGACGGATGGAGGAAGGAAGGAAGGATATAAGGAAGAAAGGAAAGGAGGGAGGGAGGAAAGGAAAGAAAGAAGAAAGGGAGGAAGGGAAGGAGGGAGGGAGGAAAAAGGGAGGAGGGCAGGAGGAAAGGAAAACATAGAGGGAAGTAGGTAGGTAGGTAGGTAGGTAGGTAGGTAGATAGGTAGGTAGATAGATAGATAGATAGATAGATAGATAGATAATAAAATAAAATAAAAAATTGTTGAGAAGTACTGGCAGAATCCCCTTCCTTCTATTTCAACAGAACCCAACTCAAAGCAAAAAGCTTGAATGAAATCAGGATTGGTTTGAGATGCCTGAGAATGAAAGGCACACTGAAACGATGCTCCTGTAACCATGGAGACCCACAGCGGTGGGATGCTGGTGCTGCCACAGAGCCAATGGATCTCCCCAGGGCTTGGTGGGGGGGGTATCATCTAGATTGAGAAATCCGAAGGAAAAGTTAAATAAGAGAGAGAGAGGAAGGGATAGATAGGTAGGTAGGTAGGTAGGTAGGTAGATGGATGGACGGACGGATGGACAGACGGACAGAGAAGAAAGGAAGGAAGGAAGGATGGATTTATTTTCCTTTCCTTCCTTTCCTTTCCTTCCTTCCCTTATATCTAGCTATTCCCTCCTTCCCTCCCTCATTTATCTATTTCCTTCCTTTTCCCTCCCTCCTTTTCTTCTCTCCCTCCTTCCCACCTTTCCTCACCTGTCTGCCTCTCTGCCTATCTATCCCAACTTCCATTTACCCCTCAAATAAACTCCCTCTCTCTAAAAACCCCTTATCTATCATCTCTCCTTATCCCAGCTCTCTGTCTCTCTGCTATCTCTCCAGATCCGTGTCTCTCAACCTTGACATTCAGATGCATTCCCCAGCCAGCTGGGCAGACACTGTTCTGTTCTATACTTAGTCCTCAACTTATGACTGGGGCTGGCTGGGGAATTCTGCCCGTTGAAATCCGACAGCTGTCAGGGTGAGAAATACTGCTCAAAACCAATTATCTATCCTCTCTCTATTGGTCAACACCGGCCTGACTGCCTGCTTCTCCATCCATCCATTCTCCCAGCAGGATAATTCTCTTTATTTTTAATATCTGGGGACGCCTGCTGATTCATACCCAATCGAAACCGCAGCAAAAGGTCGGGCGAGAAAGCGTGGCTTTTCCAAAATAGTAATAAAAAAAGAACCATTAAGCAAAGACAGGCCAGTCACTCAATCTGAGCCCATCTTGATGACCCCTTAGGGACCCAACACTTTAAAAAAAAAACTCCAAAGTTAAGATGAAGTTAAAAACAAAATCGAAACATCCTGGCTGAACCGTCTCTCGCTCTGCTGAAGCCTTAAAAGAAGAAATCAAAGCAAACACATTCAAATGTCGGATTGCGTGGAATCTCTCTTAAATACCTGGATTTCCCGGGTGTGATACGCAATAATCAGCCCCAGTAAAATTGCGGTGGAGAAGCTAATGAGACACTTCAAGGCCAGGGAGAACATGGACCCCTGCAAAGAAGAGAAATATAAGAGATTAAGTTGTGAAGGTACACAACTACACACACACACACACACACACACGCCCTTCCTCGTACCGAGCAGGCAAAGCTTAAAATTAAATATATTTCATTCGTTCTCTGCACAGGCGATACAGCTGACCCCCTTAAAAAAATAAGATTTAGATGGATGGATCGTCCCCCCAGCAGTCCAGTCGCCACCCGACCTGTTAAAATAATTCAGGTAAATCCTCGACTTACCCACTACTCATTTAGCGACCATCTGAAGTTAAAACGGCACTGGAAAAAGGGACTTAGGACTCTTTTCCACACTTAACGAAAAAGAGTCACGCGATTAAAATTCAGACACTTGGCAATTGACTCGTATTTATGACGGTCGCCGTTTCCTGGGGGGTGTCCTGTGATCCCCTTTCGCAATGTCCTGACACTAACCGTGTGACTTAACAACAAAGTTCGTGAAAGGGGGTCAAGTTCACCACAGGTCTCGCTTAGCAATTGTCGTCGTAAGTCGAGGACTAGCTGTACAACACCCTCTCAACACCCTGTTTTGTCAACCGCTCCTGCCTTTCCGGTTTTGTTCCCTCTGGAACTTTCTTTCCCTCCCGTCCCTAGCCAGTGAAATCAATGATCACCCCTTGGTGCCCTTTCCTTTTAAAAATCCAAGCCAGAAAAGAGCCGTAAAAGATTTCTTGCTGGCAACAAAATCGACTCAGGCCAGAATGGTTGTAAAATGGTACAAGGCTGACCTAAATATAGGGTCTCCTGCCTGAACAGGGGGTTGGACTAGATTTATTTATTTATTTATTTATTTATTATTTAAATTTATATACCGCCCTATCTCCCTTACGGGACTCAGGGCGGTGAACAGGCAATAATAAAATCACAATAAATATTGAATAAAAAGCCTGCTCTAAAATACCCCATATAAAACCCCTAGCAAAGCCCAATCATGATGACCTCCAAGGTCCCTTCCAACTTTATTATTATTATTATTATAACTTTCTCATTGAGCCACAGAAATGTTGGGCTTGCGGTCATAAGTCGAGGACTACAAAGCTGGAAACTGCACCTCTCACTCACAAAACAACTTCCTAACCGTGTGACTGACACAACGGAAGAGATTCCTTTAGCGACCGTGGCAAGGAAAGTCGTAAACCGGGGCAAAACTGACTGAAGAAATGTCTCTCTTAGCAACGGAAAGAGGCTCAAATGTGGTCGTAAGTTGAGGTCCAGGTTTATTATTTTTCCACTGGAACATTATTACCACAGAGACTTCCGGAAATTCCCCTAAAAATCAAAGCGCTGGAAGTCGGGGTAACCTTTAGCAGAGCAAAAGAACAAAAAAAGATTTAAAATCAGAATGAAGATTTCCCTCAGGAATTAGAAGAATAGATCTGAGGTGTTTTTTTCCACACTGATCATCGATTTCTCTGTGCTGGAAAAACAGAAGAAAAAAAATATCCCTCCGGAGAAATATTTCCTATTTTTCCAGGACAAAAACAAGGAAAAAAAAGTGAAAAGACATAAACCTGACTAATTTTAGCCTCCGGCGGAGACAAAAACCCATTTTCTCTGTGAAATAAACCCAGTTTGTTTTTTTTATTATTATTATTTCTGATCCAAATTAATGTTTTCGGTCTGTAACTGGGTTGAGAAAGGAACACAATCAATAACACAATCAATCACCTCAGTTGTTAAGTTAATAACACGGTCACTAACACGGTCGCAAATGGGGATCACGTGACCCTGGGACGCTGCGACCGTTGTAAATACGAGTCAGTCGCCAGGCGTTTGGATTTTGATCACGCGACCACGGGGACGCTGCAACTGTCGTAAGTGTGGAACACGGTCCTAAGTCCCCATTTTCAGTGCCGTTGTAACTTTAAACGAACCGTCGTAAGTTTGAGGACTGCCTTGTATTTGCCTGGAAGATTTTTCGGCTGGCCACGGGCAAGTGGGGCAAAGAACAGAGATGAAAATCACATTCTGAGGGAGCAAAGCTGCCTAACTGGATAACTTTGACATCTGATCTATTAATTCACCCCAAATGCCGGTTTTTTCCCCCTCGTGGAAGGAAGACCTGGACCTCAGAGATCATTTAGTCCAGCCCCCAAATTGGTGGTTAAGGCAACGAGGTTTCTTTTGTGAGGGCTGAGTTGGCAAGAGGCCAAGCCGTCTGCTGGGCATTGCAAATCACGATCAACGCCTCAGCGCGAGGCCCCAAAACAGCCCACTGTAGAGCTGACTCAACAAACTATCACTGACAGAAAACCTGGTTTACAGTGCCGGGCTGTTGAGGCAAGGCCTGAGTTGGCAAGATCGCAAAACACACTCAACGGCTCAGCGCGAAGACACGATCATAGAGGCGACTCAACAAACTACCATCGACGGAAAACTGGGTTCAGAGGGCCTTTTCATCGGATGCTGGCCAAGTCTTCGTATCTCGGCTTGACGGGAAAAGAATAAGATCATTTTGAGGCAGGATTCCCTCCAAACCATGCCAAACTATGGTTCCCTAGCCGGGGTCAACAGACAAGCCCTCTTCCTTCCGGCTTGGGAATCTAGGATCGATGCTGGCAATTGATTTTGCTAAAAAGCAGCCTTGGGAACAAACCAACTTTCAGCCAGGACTTTCCCAAATCAATTAGGAAAAGAGCCAGATCTGCCTACAGCCGGGCTGGCCCCGTGCCATAGCTGCCCGCCCCGCAGGAAGGGAATTCTTTGCTCGCCCTGGGCGCAGCTGTTACAACTCCCATCTCCTCTGCGCCACCCACGCAAGGGGATTCCTGCCAAACGAACCGTGTGTGTGTGTGTGTGTGTGTGTGTGTGTGTGTTTAATACAATAGAGCTGACCCACAAGGGTAGGAAAGGAGGGGTGGGCATAATTCAGGATTATTAATAGCTTGGGTGTTTACTTTTCTTCTAATCATAAAGCAGGCAGCTTCAGAACAGAACAGGGATTACCAATTCTGGCAGCTTCAAGATGGGTGGAGGTCTGCTCCCAGAATCCCCCAGCCAGCACCCATCTTCAAGTTCACTAGGATGCTGGCTGGGGGATTTTGGGAGGTGAAGCCCACCCCTCTTAAAGGATGCTGGCTGGGGGATTCTGGGAGTTGAAGTCCACCCACCTTAAAGCAGGATGGCTGGGGGATTCTGGGAGTTAAAGTCCACCCTTCTTAAAGCTGCCAAGGTTGAGGAAGGCTAGCTTAGAGATTAATTTAATAATTCGTCCTCAAGTCCAGAAAGATTTTCTCCCAGTTTCAGATGCTTTCGAGAGAAAAAAAACAAGGGGCGTCCTTACATGCACGAAACCCCTTCCACTGGCTAACGCTGCTCTCTCAAAAGCTGGCTGCGCTACCCTCTGCTGAGTTGTGGCTGGGCAAGTAAACCATCATTGGGAGATTGTATCGCAAAATGGATGGGAGGACACCTGCAGTCGGAAAACACCGGCTTTTCCCCGGCTTTCGTGCCAGGCTGGATAAATGATTTGTTAGCCGCCCGGAGAGACACGCAAGTCAGATGGGCAGTCAAGAAATGTGATAAATAAATAAGTAGAAATTTATCAGCCATGCCCAGACGTCTCGGGTGGGTGAGATTTGGCCGGAGAAAAGCAGAAAAATTGCAGGCGGAAAGGAAGCCGAGATTGGGCAGGTCTCGTGTGCCAATTCCTTAGTCGCCACAATATTAAAAAAAAAAAAAAAAGAGATGTCGAGACTCTGGAAAGAGCGCAGAGAAGAGCAACCAAGAGGATCAGGGGACTGGAGGCTTAAACATAGGAAGAAGAACGGTTGCAGGAATTGGGGATGTCTGGTTTAATGAAAAGAAGGATTTGGGGGGACGCGACGGCAGTCTTTCAATATTTGAGGGGCTGCCCCAAAGAAGAGGGGGGGGGGTCCCCTTATTCTCCAAAGCACCAGAAGGCAGGACAGGAAATAAGGGATGGAAACTGATCAAGGAGAGAAGCAACCTGGAATTAAGGAGAAACTTCCTGACAGGGAGGACAATTAACCAGTGGAACTGCTTGCCTCCAGAAGTTATGAGTGCTCCATCACTAGAGGCTTTTAAGAAGAGTGCTCCAGGAGGTGTATCAACTTCTCTCTCCTGCTGGGGGGGGGCTCCCCACTAGAACCCCTCCCTCTTTACTCATCCCCACCAGCTGGCAATATCCTACATAGACGCAACAGGTGGGGATAACCCAGGTTAACATACCTGGAGGTTGGCAGGCAAGGGCCCGAATTCATGCCCTCTTTTTACCCCCTTCTCCTTTTCAAGCAGAGAGGCTGGGAAAAGCCTCCCCCCCCACTTTGCCTGCCAGATAAACCCCTCTCCCCTTCCTCTCTCCCAAAGCCACACAGAATTTGCAAAATCACCCTGATGGAAAAACCATCAGCCATTTTTTTTTTCCTGTCAGGTGGGGGCCACGGAAGAAACCAAGTGTGTGTAATGGTGGGGGGGGGGGGAAAGTCAGGTAGAAAAATGTTATTTATTCATCCTGGGGAAGCTGAATTGCCCTCCCTTCCCCTCTATTCTCTCTCCACCCCCCACCCCACCTCACTTACGTATCTAGCAACTATAATCCATCACCTTGGAGATGGCAGGGAAGTACCTGGCTTGCCTGGGGGGGCAGTGTAGGGGGGGGGGAAACAAGAAAGTTGGGGAGCCAAAGGCAAGGGGGGGGTGTCTGTTCTTCTCATCCACTCCATTTATTCCCACATCACCCAAGACAGACACAGTTGGTCCGGTTTACGGGGAATCACCCCATGCCCAACTTTTGGGGTGGAGTGAGAGGAAGGCCCAGTAAGAGAGGGGAGCAAAGAGGGGGGGCAAGTTTGGCTCTCCCCCCTCCCCACCCAACTTCAGAAAGAGGTATGGAGGGGGGAAAGGAAGAGGAAGAGTTGAGGTCCCTTCCCCATGCAGCCAGAGCCCCATCCTAAGTACCTGCAACAGGTATTCAGGATAGGGGCATGCTTTAGAGAGGCCCACCTGACAGGGTGCCCCCCTCCAGCCCTCAACTTTGGAAAGAGATCTGAGGAAGAGGAGAGCTGGACCCCCTGACCTTGAGGCCCCTTCCCCAAGCAACTAGCCCCTATGCAAGCAGCAGCCCCTCCTGGACGGCTTGGCCCCTTCAAAGACCCCCTTCTCAACTTCATAAAGAGAAATGGCGGAGAGAAGGAAAAGGAGAGCCAGGCCCACCCACACCGAGGACCCTTCCCCAAACAGCCAGACCTCTGCCCAAGCGGGGAGCACTTTGGGGAGCCCCCCCACAACTGGCTGCCACCCCCTCTGCAACCCCCTATCCCGCTCAACTTTGGAAAGAGATATGGGGAGGCGGAGGAGGAGGAACAGAAGAAACAGACCCATGAACGCTGAGGGCCCTTCCCCAAACAGCCAGACGCTGACCCAAGCGGGGTGTGCACTTTAGGAAGCCCCCCAACTGGTTGGTCCCCACAGTGACCCCCCCATCCCCCTCTCAACTTCGGAAAGGGGTATGGGGAAGAGGAGAGCGGGACCCACTGAGGTTAAGGCCCCTTCCCCAAGAACTTTCGTGCGCTTTGGGGAACCCCACCATGGGTCTGCCACTCCTCCCCCCCCATCCCCCTCTCAACTTCGGAAAGAGAGATGAGGGTCAAATCCGTTGAGGTTAAAGTCCCTACCCTAAGCAGCCAGCCCCCTATCCAAAAAGGGGAGCGCTTTGGGGAACCCCACCAAGTATCTGCCACCCCCCTCCACGACCCCCATGCCCCTCTCAACTTTGGAAAGAGGTCTCCGGAAGAGGAAGGCCAAATCCAGACAGGCTCAAGACCCTTCCCCAAGCAGCCAGCCAGCCAGCCAGACCCCCTCTCCAAGTCCGGCGGGGCCCCCCCCGTCCTCCCGCCCCCTACCTTGGAGTACAAGCCCCAGGAGAGCTCCGTCTCGATGACCATCACCACGATGCCGAACATGCCGAAGATGAGCGCGTAGTCGCTCAGCCGCTTGCGCTTCTCGAAGAGGGCGCGCCGGTGGCCCAGGCGGTAGCCGATGTTCTGGTTCTTGCGCTTGGGCGCCTTGGCGGGGGGCGGCCCGGGGGCGGCGGAGGGCGAGGCGGCCGAGGCGGGGGGCGCCTTGCGAGCCGGACCCTCGCCCGCGTTGGCGTGCAGGAGCCCCGCCGGCGAGTGGTTGTCCTCCCGGGAGATGACGATCTCCGGCGGCGGAGGCGCGCCGGCCGCCAGCAGTTGCAGCGGCTGCGCCTCGTCGGGGCCCGGCGCCGGCGGTGGAGGCGGGTTGGCGTCGAGCAGGTTCCGACGGGAGGCGCTGAGCCGGCTGAGCGGCTTCATGACGCCGCCGCTGTACTTGCACGAGCTCATGGCGATCTCGGTGAAGGGGTTGCTGTCCCGCCGGTGCGCCAGCGGGCTCGCCTGCCGGTGCTTGGCCGCGCCGCCGCCGCCTCCACCTCCGCCGCCTCCACCGCTGGAGCTGGGCGAGTGGCCCGGAGCCGCCCAGCCGGGCTCGCCGCTGACGTTGGGCTGGCTGCCGTGGCGGGAAGCCGGGCGCAGGGCGGCCAGGGCGGGGGGAGCGCGCAGGGGACCCCCGGAGGCCGCCCCCGCCGGAGCCACCGGAGCCACCGGGGCCACGGGAGCCAGGCTGGGGGGCGCGGCGAGCTCGCCCCCGCCCGAGTCGAGGAAGGGCGCCGGGGGCTCCATCCTCTTCTTCCTCCTCCTCCTCCTCTTCCTCCTCCTCCTCCTGCGCCCGGCCCTGGCCCCTGCCCCGGCTCAGCGCGCTGCCCGCCCCAGCGCAGGGGCATCCAAGCGGGCCCCGCGGCTGCCCAGCCTGGGGCTGGGGCTGGGGCTGGGGCGGCGGGCGGCTGCAGCCGAGCTGCCAGCGGGCGCGACTGGCAAGCCTTGGCACGCTCGCCTCTCGGGGACGCGCGCCCGGCCAAGCCCCCCTCGGCCCCTGGGCGCGCGCTCATTGGCTGGCCGGGCGGCGGCGGAGGGGGTGACATCACAGCCCCCCCCACGCCGCCCCTCCCCTCCCCTCCCCGTGCGGGTGGGGAGGGGGTGAGAGAGAGAGAGGCGAGCAGGCGCCCCCTCCCCAAAGGCGAAAAAAGCACCAGGACTGCGCCTGTGCGCGCGCCGGCAGCACCACGGGATTCGTCGGCTGCTTTGCGCGCTCGCTCGCTCGCTCGCTCGCTCTCTGCGCNTCCTTTCCCCCCCCCAGGCTCTGCTTCATTCATTCGGCTTGGAAAATACCCTGCCTGGCTCCGCCTCCCGGCCCCCCCCCGCCCAGCCCCACCCGAAGGCGTGGAGGGGCTGGGCGGGCAGGTGGGCGCAAGCAACAGGTGGTGATGCTGCGTGCCCGGCTTGGAAAAAAGGGGGAGGAAGAGGCTTTCCCGGTTGGATGGCCGGCCTGGAGGGTTCCCTACGTCTCTTGAGGCCGGGGAACAAGAGAGGAGCCGTTGCGCCCCCCCCTTTACATCTGGCAGGTAGACGCCCCAACATCTGGAAGAGATGGTCTCGCCCAGCTGCAGGCTTTTTTTTTTTTTTTAATTTTAATCCCTGCCGGTCCTCTCCAGCATCTGCGGACTCCAATTCCCATCAGCCTTCAGCTGGGAGGACTCCCTTAGGGCCAGGTGAGGTTCTGATTGGGGGAGCTGGGAACCCCCCTCCCGTTTTAAAATAAGGGGTAAAAATGACTCCTTCCGATTCTAGTGCTCATCTCCACCCCAAATCTTCAAAGCGGCTTTTGCTTTACCTGTTGCACGGCTGCCTGTTTAAGGGCCACTCCGGGCCTGCTTGTGGCTATTTTAGGGACGTTGAACACCATTGGGACGGAGGGAAGGCTGTCAAAAGAGGGTCCCCAAAGAAGCCCAGCGTCCCCTTTCTCTGGGCCTGGGTCAATAAACCGAACTGGATTCTTCTACATTGCAGAAAAATATGCCAAAAATAATAAATCTGTCTTTGAAAATTCACCTTCCTTGGGGGCCTAATGGGGATCTTTCTTTAACCTCTTCCGAGCACCTTCAGGGCAGAAATTCATTTTGAAAGAAAAGAATTTAAATTCACCTGCATTTGTTGCCTTAATTTTTTTTTTGTTTTCCCTTCTGGGTCAGAAACGGGAGCACGCAGGAACATCGCAAAGAAAGTCTGGAGTCACCCTTTCAGTTCTACCTCAGCAAATCGGACGGACATCCTTGAATAAAAAAAAAAATTATTAAATCCTTTGGAATCCTGTCATGATTATTTTATTTTCTTCTTTGGGATCTCCCATCTCCTGGCTGCTGGAGCGAGCCCCCAAGAAGCAAAACTCAACCTTGCAATTCTTTCTGGATGGTGCCAGAAATTGTCAAAAAGGCTGCGAAAAATTCAACTT